TGGCAGCCGCCGGACCACCCGCTATGACATCGACATGACCAAGTGTATCTACTGCGGCTTCTGCCAGGAGGCCTGCCCCGTGGATGCCATCGTCGAGGTGCGTGAGGCCCCTGGGTGGGAGGGGCGCTGAGGCTCCTCAGCGGGGCCTAACCACTGTCCCTGCACCCCACCTGCAGGGCCCCAACTTTGAGTTCTCCACGGAGACGCATGAGGAGCTGCTGTACAACAAGGAGAAGCTGCTCAACAACGGGGACAAGTGGGAGGCCGAGATTGCCGCCAACATCCAGGCTGACTACCTGTACCGGTGACGCCCCACCGGCCCACAACGCCTGCTGCCCAATAAAACACTGCTCCAACCCCAGGGTCTCTTGTCTTGACTCTGGTGGTCCAGGGTGGGGCCATCCCCAGCCCGCCTGAGGCCTGTGGTGCCTCCAGCTGGACTAGGTAGCCCCCTAGTCTTTATGCTCTCTGCGGTCCTGCTGCCCCAGCCCGGCCTTCCTGTGGACTCCAGGGCCCCACCAGGCCCTCATGGCTGGGCCACAGGCTGCAGCATCACGATCAGCCTGCCTCTTCCTGGGTGTCTTCCCCGAGGCAACGCCAGAGGTCACCACAGTCCTGTCGTTCCCACAGTCCCAGCTGTCCCGGCTGGGGCCTGGGCCTCCTGTCTCCCAAGAGCCATCCACTTCTAAGACCCTTAGGACTTGGAGCATCCCAAGGCCTCAGGCTGAAGAACAGCAAGTGGCAGAAACTCCGGCCGGGGCATCCTTGCTGGGGGTAGGAGGAAGCCTGCTTGGGGTGACAGTCACGCGAGGGTGACACAGGCCCTGCTGGCCCTGAGCTGGCCTTGCCTCCAGCCACATCCTCTTTCTTCCCCATGTTCCCCAGGCCAGGCTGCTCGTCCGGCAGCTGCTCACCACTTCCTGCTTTGCAGGCCCAGCAATGTGGTGGGGTTCCCCCCAGGGTCACACACAAGCCCCTTGCCCACATAATGGCCAAAAGCAGCCCACTTTAACTTGTGCTAAGCACTGTGGAAGGATTTCACTTCATTTGCAGTGAGGAAACCAGCTCCAAGAGGTGAAGAGGCTTGCTCAGGGCCATGGAGCACACATCCCATAATAAAACTCAGTTCACAGACCTTGAACCCCCGTCTTCCATCATTTCCAAAAGTGCTTTTTACAAAGCACTACTTCGTAAAAACCTACTTCGAAAGAACAAGTTTCCTCACCCAGTGAGTTTGGGAAACGCTCCAGCTGCTGTCTGCCTGCTGGCAAGTATGGCGTGGTAGACATTCAAGGCTCTGAGAAGGCCTGCAGCAAAAAACCAGCCTCTCCCAGCCCATTTCCAGGAAGCCTTTTCTAAGGTCTAACACCTGGGCCTTCTTCCTAGGCCAGGCATTGCCATCTAATGCCAAAGTGGCCGGGCCCCTGCTTGGGCCCCACAGCCTGTGGCACTGGGGTGAGAAGTAACTGCAGGAGTCGAGGGGAAGCCTGGAGCCTGGGAAGTGTCCACAGGTCCGGCTCACAGCGCATCTTGGCCACTGATGAAAACAGGCACTCCTTCCAAAAACCAGGCAGGCGTAGGACTCCTGAATCCCTGCAGGTTTAGCTGTTCCCAGACATAACTGCTGTTAGAGCGCGGCATGGAGCCTGTAGCTGCGCACGGAGCACTTCTATTCCAAGCGGGTCAGACTTTCCAGCTCACCGCTGGTTCTCTCCCTTAACCGTGGCCTCCCGGGCACTGCTCTGCTGAGACCGCACCAGAGCTGTCTGGTTGTATCAGGCCCTGCTCCTGTCAGAACAGGCCTATGACCCCCAACAAGTCCCCCAATTTTCTGAGGAACCACAGCTGAGCTTGGTTGTGACTCAGTTTCCAGGCCCGACTCTGGGGCTCCATTTGTCCACCCCTGCCACAGCCCCTCAGGCCTTTGCTCACTGTGTGGGGCTTAGGCATTGCCAGAGCTGAAGGGCCCCTGGCCTCCAGTGGGAATGCCCCAGGCCTGGCCAAAGTGCAGGCAGCTGGATGGCCGTGAGTCCCAGCTTCCAGGCGCTAGGACCTGATGATGCCCATGGTGCTGACCTGGAGCAAGGTCACAGTGACAACCCCGGCTGTGGCTGCCGGTGGAGCTGACAGCTGGCCTCTACCCCAGGGTATCTCCCAGGGCCTGCTGGGTTCGGGGCCCTGGGCAGAACAAGGCAGCATGGCCTGGCCCTGTGTCCTGCTGCCAGTGAAGCAGGCCCGGAGTGGGGCAGCCATCCACCCAAGGGCCAGCGCGGGGCCTCTCCCGGGTGGTCAAGAGCAGGAAGGTGTAAGCACCGCCTTTCACTGCCGCGCACCCAAGGGAGGGGTCCCGGAGGTGAGAGAGCATCCTGGGGACCCCAGGCCCATGAGCCCGCGAATGTTGGGGTCCCATCAGCCAGAGGCACACAAGCCTCAAAGTGAGAGGAGAGCAGGGTCTCATCCCCTATCCTGAGCTGGGCCTGAGCGGAGCTGCCCCTGCATCAGGGCCAGCACAGACGCGTGCGGTTGGCACTGGTCCGTTATCCGCTTCGTTCTCCAGGTCTCCTCTCCGGGATTAAGCGCCCCACTGAGGACCCGTCCGCGAGGCCACAGCCTGGCCTCAGCCTCCCCCAGGCTTCCCGGACTCCGGTGGAGGCTTGGGCCGGGGGCGGGGCGTCCCTGGCCCCTCCCCGTCGCCCCGCCTGCCCGGAAAGGAGTGAGCGGCGCCGGGCCCCAGGCGGGCGGGAACGCAGCTCTGAGTGCGGCCCGGCGTGCGCGGAGTGGGGCAGCCAACAGCGGAGCCGCGGCGCGCAGCCCACCTGGGTGAGTGACCCCGCTGGGGTCTGCGGAGCCCCAGCTCTGCCTGCCCACCGTCTTCCCCCGCCCCGGGGAGGGGATCTCGGCGCCCCACCCAGTTGGGTCCGTGAATGCAGCTCAGCCCGCCACCCCGCCGGGTGTCAGGCCTTGGGGGGACCACGGAGGATCGCCAAGGGAGGAGGAGAAGGGTGGGGTGTTGGCCAACAGAGCCCAGCGTTCCTGGGCCTGGTGTGCGCGGAGCTTTCCCCACTGCATTCTTCCTGGGAGGGAGGGACCCATTCTACGGATGGGGAAGCTGAGGCCGCCCAGCTAGGAAGTGTCAGAGCTGGAGACCAGCTGGGTCTTTTGACTCCAGAGGCGACCCCATTTGGAATGGAGGGGCCGCCAGACCCTCTCCTACTGCCTTCCCGTCATCCGCAGGGGAGGGCGGGGGTGCAGAGAGACCTGGTGGGTTCCTGGAGGAGCCTTATGAGGGGCCAGGAAAGGGGCACAGGGTGAGGAGTGGGCTGGAGCCTAGACCCCAGGGCCGCAGGATGGAGGCATATTCATTTACACCATAAAAGTGGTTGGATGACCCCTGGCTAGAGTGGGGATCAAGGGGGACAGCGGTAGGGGGTGAGCCAGTGGGGCCTCACATGCCAGGTGCGGGGGTTGATCACGTCCCCACACCCCTCCCCCTGCCCATTATAGGTTGTTCCCCCACCCCCTGGGAAGTGCTGGAAGGAGCCGAGCCATTGGTATAGTGGCTGTGGGAGCCCTGATGGCCCTGAGCCAGGGGTGCCCCCTCCCCGGATCCCCAGAGCTGACTCCCTACACCCCCTTATTTGGCCAGCACAGCCCCAGAGGGAGCCAGGTCAGACCGCAGCCCTCTTCCGAGCTCACCCTTTGTGCTCGGCACATAACGTTGGACTTTACCTCTCCAAGTGTCAGTGGAGTCCTATATAAAACAAAGGTCCAGCGCCCCCTCCCCCAGGATTTCTCCCCCCAGGGATTAGTGTGAGGTCTTGTGGATGAAGGGATTCAGTCGGGGCTCTGGTTATTTTTGTCACCTCCCTAGATCCTGTCTCTGTCAGGGGTGCCACGTCCCATTCACCCAAAGAGGAAGTAGAGGCCCAGAGAGGGTGAGAGACTTGCCCAAGGTCACACAGCCCTGGGCCCCCAGTCCCTCTGCCCTGTGGCCGGGCCTGGTCCTTAGGGATGGAACCCAGGCCCCCGCTGCCCCCTGCCCGGCCGGCTTGCAGCCTTGGGCCGTTCACTCAGTGTTCCCTCGTTCCCTCCTTCTCTCCTTTCCCAGGCTGGGGCTGGGGCTGCGGTTCTCTATTTAGAGTTAAGTAAACCAGACCCGGGGGAGGAAGTGACTGGCTGGGCAGGCCCTGGCCAGCCCAGCAGCAGGCGGGGCCCTGACCAGGCCTGTCCCCTCCCCCTAATTTTCGAGCTGAGGAACTGAGTCCCACAGAGGGGCGCTGGGCCCCCAGAGCAGTGGCTTTGGAGCTGGAGGGGCCCCAGCATCCACAGGGCCAGGGCGGGTTGGAGGTGGCCTGGCACCCGCCCTCAGCCTGCATCGGCCTTGAGCAAGTCCCCGGGCCCTTCCCCGCCATTCTGCAGTTTCACTTTTGTTGGTTTCAACACCTGGTAGGCTGCGGCTGCTGCCAGGCAGCCTGGGCCTCAGGGGACGCCCCCCTCCCAGCAGCGGTGCTCCCTGGCCAGTCCCAGGGTACCCAGTGGAGATGCCCGCCCCCGCGTCTCAGCACATGCAGCCCCACAGGGAGCAGGGAGGGCTCCAGCCACCCCTGGGGCAGCCCTGGGCCTGAGTGCCTGGGCCAGTGGGATCCTGTCTAGGGTGAGGGCAGCCTGAGAGGGGGAGGCCAGAGTGAAGGTAGGGGTGGAGCCGGTGTCATTGGGAGATGCTGGAGGTAGGGGCGGGGGTCCCTGTGGGCAGAGCAAGCCAGGAGAGAGCTTGAGGTTGGCCCGAGAGTGGGCTTTGGGGTCTCCCAGTCCCACTGCTTACTTCCTGCGTGACCTCAGCACCACACCAAGCCTGCCCAGGCCTCAGTTTCCACCTCTGTCAGATGGGGGTGGTAGCAGCAACAGCTTCCAGGATTCAGTGAGTGAAGGTGCGCAGATGCCCGTGGTTGGGAACTGTCTGTGGTCCGCCTCTGACTGGCCCCCATCCGTGTCCACCCACAGGACCATGGGCTCCATGTTCCGGAGCGAGGAGGTGGCCCTGGTCCAGCTCTTTCTGCCCACAGCTGCCGCCTACACCTGCGTGAGTCGGCTGGGCGAGCTGGGCCTCGTGGAGTTCAGAGACGTGAGTCGGGTGGGCAGGCGTGGGAAGGGGGCTACTGCCGAGGTTAGCCCGAAGGCCGGTGCAGGATGGGGACCGCCCCCCCATAGGGCCCTGGCCCCGTTTGAACCCCAGCGGCCCCTGCCATGGGCGCTGCTCATGGGAAGCCTGTGGCTAAGGCCCCTGAGTGGGCTCCTCCCCATGCCCTCCCGGGGTGTGGGGTCTGGTCTGTGCTCTGATCGGGCTCTTGTGGATCCCAGGGTGCTCAGCACCTTTCTGGAGGAGGCAGCTGAGGCCTGAGGAGAGTCAGGCCTGGGCTCTAGGCTGAGAAGCTCCCTGAGACACTGACCCCTCCGTGTGGCACCCACAGCTCAACGCCTCGGTGAGCGCCTTCCAGAGACGCTTTGTGGTTGATGTTCGGCGCTGTGAGGAGCTGGAGAAGACCTTCAGTGAGTTGGTCCCAGGCGTACATTCCAGGCAGGCTTCCTGGAGGAGGCATGGGCCAAGTTTGATCTGAAAGGAAGAGTCTGGGTTTGCCAGGTGGAAGGCAGAGAAAGGAGGTACACAGCAGGGCCCTGCATGGCCAAGACAGAGCAGCTGAGATCTGTGAAGTGTGCTTGGGAAGGTGGCTGCCTTGTGTGGGCTGAGCAGAGGGCCTAGGGCAGGGCTGGCTGGGAAGGCCTTGAATGCAGCGTAAGAGCCCAGGACTTCGTCCTGTGGGCACCGGGGAGCCACAGGGATTTCTAAGTAGGGAAGAGGCACAGACAGAGCTTTCTCCTCCGCAGCTGGGCTGGCGTGGGTGGGCCCAGGATCTAGGGTTGGATGCCCCCAAGGAGCATGCAAAAGGGACCCCTGCCCTGGGCAACCGCTCTCAGGAAGAGCCTGAGGGGCACCAAGGCAGGGGCATGGAGCAGGCTGGGTTTTGTGTTTGCTGTTGCAGTTCATAGCTTTTCAACAATCAGGCAGACACAGGACGCACGCCAGCTCCGGTCCCAAGCCCTGCAGCGCGAGGGCCAGCCTGTGGGGAGACCTCAGGCCCTCTGCCGAGCAGTGGGGAGGGAGAGCAAGCCCAGACCTGAGCTCAGAGGAAGGGGAGCACAGCTTCTGGTTGGAGATTTGGCCAGGATTTTCCGGCCGCCTCTGCCTGGTGAATCCAGCAGCTGGTGGCGGATGGCGTTTGGGGCAGCAGGTGGGGTCCTCAGCTGTTGAGACAACATCGACTGCACCCCACTCCCGTTCCTCTGCGCCCAGCCTTCCTGCAGGAGGAGGTGCGGCGGGCTGGGCTGGTCCTGCCCCCGCCTGAGGGGAGGCTGCCGGCACCCCCACCCCGGGACCTGCTGCGCATCCAGGAGGAGACAGAGCGCCTGGCCCAGGAGTTGCGGGATGTGCGGGGCAACCAGCAGGCCCTGCGGGCCCAGCTGCACCAGCTGCAGCTCCACGCCGCCGTGCTGGGCCAGGGCCATGGACCCCAGGTCAGCTCCAGCCCAAGCAGGAGACTGGGAGGCTGGGGAGGGGCTGTCCGGCCCAGGGCTCATGGTGCTTCTGGACTCCTAGCTGGCAGCCGCCCACACAGATGGGACCTCAGAGAGGATGCCCCTGCTACAGGCTCCCGGGGGGCCGCATCAGGACCTGAGGGTCAAGTGAGTGAGGGGTTGACCTCTTGTCCTTTCTGGCCAGCCCAGAACCCCTGGCCAGTTGCTGGGCTGGGCCAGGCTGAGCTCCAACTCCTTGTCCAGTGCTCTCCCCTCTGTTCCTGCTCTCAGGCTGCCCCCACCTCCTCCTTCAGGCCTGGAACTTCCCACAGTCCCAAGCCCTGGCCCTGGGGGGGTCCTTCTCTTCTGGCCCTGCCCGGGAGGCCTCCTGCCTTCCGCTGTGGGCAGGGCCAGTGGGCCCAATTGCCCGATTACCCATGCTGGTCAGGGTCCTTCCCCGGGGGCCTGGTGGGGGAGGCAGGGCGGGAGGTTGGAGCAGTCCTGCCCAGCCCCGTGGCCGCCAGCTTTGTGGCAGGTGCGGTGGAGCCCCACAAGGCCCCTGCCCTAGAGCGCCTGCTCTGGAGGGCCTGCCGCGGCTTCCTCATCGCCAGCTTCAGGGAGCTGGAGCAGCCGCTGGAGCACCCCGTGACGGTGAGCAGCTGGCCCTGGGCTGGGGGGTCCTGGGCAGAGTGAGACTCCAGAATCAACTGAGCCTGCTCTGCAGGGCGAGCCAGCCATGTGGATGACCTTCCTCATCTCCTACTGGGGAGAGCAGATTGGACAGAAGATCCGCAAGATCACGGACTGGTGAGTCACTGGGAACACCCGCCCCACTGCCCCGCTCCGCAGGCCCCTGCTGTCACCTCCCAGCCTGCCCTGTCACGACTCCTCCCCATGAACTCCCTTCAGACTCAGAGTCTCGTAGCCGGGACCCTCAGGCCCCTCACGCAGCACAACCTCCCTCCAGCTTCCACTGCCACGTCTTCCCGTTTCTGGAGCAGGAGGAGGCCCGCCGCGGAGCCCTGCGGCAGCTGCAGCAGCAGAGCCAGGAGCTGCAGGAGGTGGGTGCCCTGGCCTGGCCTCCCAGAGGTGGGTGCAGGAGGTGGGTGCTCCCAGCCCAGCCACCCCACCTGCCCGCCCAGCCCCCGCTGACTGCCCACTCTGGCGCAGGTCCTGGGGGAGACAGAGCGGTTCCTGAGCCAGGTGCTGGGCCGGGTGCTGCAGCTGCTACCGCCGGGGCAGGTGCAGGTCCACAAGATGAAGGCTGTGTACCTGGCCCTGAACCAGTGCAGCGTGAGCACCACGCACAAGTGCCTCATTGCCGAGGCCTGGTGCTCCGTGAGAGACCTGCCTGCCCTGCAGGAGGCCCTGCGGGACAGCTCGGTGAGCACGAAGCCTGAGACCTCGCCCCCTCCCCACCCGCCCCTCCTACCAGGCCGGGGCATTTCTGCCTTAATTCCAGCCCCCGGCTCCCTGCACCTGGGCTTTGCCCAGGGGCTCCTTCTCCTCCCAGCCTCCTCCACGGCCCATCTCTTCCAGGGAGTCTACCCTGTTGGCCCTGGCCCAACGAGCCCTACCCTGACTTTCCTGAGTCCCTGGAGGCTGACGGGGTAGTTTTAGTCAGAAGCCTCATTTCAATTCAGGCCCCCCTGTGACCTTAGGCCTGCCTATGGTCTGTGGAACCGGTGTGATGCCCCTGCCCCCGGGGTCACCCACCACGCACAGCAGGTGCTTGCGGGTGAGGCTGGGCTCCTTCTCCTGGGCGGTCCCTAAGAGGCAGCACGCTTGCCTTTCCCAAGCCATTGCCAGTCCATGTGGTGTCTTTGGGCCCCCACCAGGGCATAGCAGGGCCGATCATCTCACTTCAGAGAGAGGGGAAGGGGCTGCTCAGTGAGCCCCCACAGGGCTCTGCATCTCCAGCTGGGCCTGGCTGGGGGTCCCAGGGTCCCTGAAGGCCCCTGCCACTGGTCTGGTCTCTCTCTGTCCTGGCATCCAGACGGAGGAGGGAGTGAGCGCCGTGGCTCACCGCATCCCCTGCCGGGACATGCCCCCCACGCTCATCCGCACCAACCGCTTCACAGCCAGCTTCCAGGGCATCGTGGACGCCTACGGCGTGGGCCGCTACCAGGAGGTCAACCCCGGTGAGAGCCACGGCGCCCTTACTCGTGTCCTGGGAGGCTCAGCTGCCCCACTGGATGGGTGTGAGCCTGAGCGGGAGGTATCTCCATCCCGGGCCCGGCCTGCCCTCCTGGGATGAGGAGCACGCATCCCGTCACTCTCGAGAGGCTGTTGGGCTCTGCAGCCGGTGTGAGGCTTTATGTCGGCTCCCAGCCAACTCCCCCTTGTTGAGTTTACAAGGGAGCCGCACGGGCTTGTGCAAAGAACAGAGGTTGTGCGGTGGACATGGCCCAGGTTGGAAGCCCATCTCGCCTACTTTGATATGTTTCTTAGCTTCTCTGAGCCTCAGCTGCCTCACCTGCAAAATGGAAATAATAGTGCAAACCTCAGAGGAATGTCAGGAAGCTTAGTGACCATTGGAGACTGCAAGCCAGAGCCAGGGGGCAGCCTGTGGTGTGGTTGGTTTGGTCACATGGTTTTGTTTGTTTGTTTGTTTGTTTTTTGAGATGGAGTCTCATTCTGTGGCCCAGGCTGGAGTGCAGTGGTGTGATCTCGGCTCACTGCAACCTCTGCCTCCCAAGTTCAAGCCATTCTCCTGCCTTAGCCTCCCGAGTAGCTGGGACTACAGGTGCCCATCGCCACGTCCAACTAATTTTTGTTCTTTTAGTGGAGACAGGGTTTCGCCATGTTGGCCAGACTGTCTCGAACTCCTGACCTCAAGTGATCCGCCCACCTCAGCCTCTGAAAGTGCTGGGATTACAGGCGTGAGCCACCACTCCTGGCTACACAGTGTTTTTTGGTTTTTTGTTTTGTTTTTCTTCCAGAGATGGAGTCTCGCTCTGTCGCCCAGGCTGGGGTTCGGTGGCATGATCTCGGCTCACTGCAATCCCCGCCTCCCAGGTTCCAGTGATTCACCTGCCTCAGCCTCCAGGGTAGTTGGGCAGGCGCGCGCCACCATGCCCGGCTAATTTTTCTGTTTTTAGTAGAGACAGGGTTTCACCATGTTGGCCAGGCTGGTCTTGAACTCCTGACCTCAGGTGATCCCCCCCACCGTCTCGGCCTCCCAGAGTACTGGGATTATAGGCATGAGCCACCGTGCCCGGCTGCTAAGTGGTGGGTTCTTGACTGCAAGCCAACAGGGCCTCTGTGGCATCTTGGGCCGGGAGACGGATGCTGGTGTGTTTGGGGGTTGCCAGCTCACCCACCATGCCCTCTGCCCACAGCTCCCTACACCATCATCACCTTCCCCTTCCTGTTTGCTGTGATGTTTGGGGATGTGGGCCACGGGCTGCTCATGTTCCTCTTCGCCCTGGCCATGGTGCTTGCGGAGAACCGGCCGGCAGTGAAGGCCGCGCAGAATGAGGTGAGGGGCCGGGCTGGGGTCCTGATGAGGGTAGTGGGGCCAGGCAGCCCCTCACCACACTGCTGCCCCCCCAGATCTGGCAGACTTTCTTCAGGGGCCGCTACCTGCTCCTGCTCATGGGCCTGTTCTCCATCTACACTGGCTTCATCTACAACGAGTGCTTCAGTCGCGCCACCAGCATCTTCCCCTCGGGCTGGAGTGTGGCAGCCATGGCCAACCAGTCTGGCTGGAGGTGAGGCCCGGGCCCCAGCCTGGCCGGGGGCCCCGCAACCCCCACAGCCCTGACCGCCCTGCCCTCCGTTGCCACAGTGATACATTCCTGGCCCAGCACGCGATGCTTACCCTGGATCCCAACGTCACCGGTGTCTTCCTGGGACCCTACCCCTTTGGCATCGACCCTGTGAGTCCTGGGGTGGAGTGTCCGCGGGTGGTGAAGGCAGCTGGGAGTGGGGGCTGGCGCTCCCCTCGGTTCAGCCCTCCTGCAGTGCCATCACGGAGCACTCCTGTGTGCCAGGCCCTTTCCTCAGCACAAGAGGCAGACAAGGCTCCTGCCCTGCAGAGCCTGCATCATAGTCCCCTGAGTGTGCAGAGGCAAAGCCAGACCGGACAGGAACCAGTCTCCTGAGTGTGCAGAGGCAAAGCGAGACTGGACAGGAACCAGTCTCCTGAGTGTGCGGAGGCAAAGCCAGACCGGACAGGAACCAGTCTGTAGCTTGCACTGTGCTAAGCACTGTTCCCAACCCTCTGTGGAAGTGATTTTCTTTTTTTTTTTCTTTTTTTTTGGGATATGGAGTCTCATTCTGTCACCCAGGCTGGAGTGCAGTGGTGCGATCTCGGCTCACTGCAACCTCCATCTCCCGGGTTCAAGTGATCCCCTGCCTCAGCCTCCTGAGTAGCTGGGATACAGGCACCTGACACCATGCCCGGCTAATTTCTGTATTTTTAGTAGAGACGGCGTTTCACCATGTTGGCCAGGCTGGTCTCGAACTCCTGACCTCATGTGATCTACCTGCTTCAGCCTTTCAAAGTGCTGGGATTACAGGCGTGAGCCACCGTGCCCGGCCTGATTTTCTGTGTGAACCTCATCACAACCCCGTGGGCCGCACGTTAGCCGTGTCCTCACCTAAAGAAGAGACTGAGGCACAGAGGCCATGCCCAAGGTCACCCAGGCTGGAGCCGTGGCAGCTGGCCCATCTGTGCTCTGTTGCCCCTCGGTGGGTGGGTGATGGATGAGGCTGCAGGCTCCGAGGGGGAAAACAGGGTGATGAGAGAGAGGGACTCGGGCCGGGGACTTCCTGGCAGTGCTGGCCAGGGAGCCCCTGAGTCCAGCCTGCCCTGCTGCCACCCTAGGTCTGGAGCCTGGCTGCCAACCACTTGAGCTTCCTCAACTCCTTCAAGATGAAGATGTCCGTCATCCTGGGGGTCGTGCACATGGCCTTCGGGGTGGTCCTTGGAATCTTCAACCACGTGTGAGGGCCAAAGCTGCCTGGGGGATGGGAGGCTGGCAGGCCAGAGTGGGCCCCAGTGACCACGCCTCCCTCCTACCTGCCAGGCACTTTGGCCAGAGGCACCGGCTGCTGCTGGAGACGCTGCCGGAGCTCACCTTCCTGCTGGGGCTCTTCGGTTACCTCGTCTTCCTAGTCATCTACAAGTGGCTGTGTGTGTCGGCTGCCAGCGCTGCCTCGGCCCCCAGCATCCTCATCCACTTCATCAACATGTTCCTCTTCTCCCATAGCCCCACCAACCGGCCACTCTACCCCCGGCAGGTGTGCTGTGGCTGTGGGGCCCAGCTCACACAGCCTCATGGGGATCCCATGGTCACTGGGCCACTGGGAGCTGCAGGATCCTCGTCCGAGAAACGGGGATGCGGGCCCCGGGCTGTGCAGACAGGGCCGTCAGAGGTGATGGTGTGCATCTTTAGCAGGTGGCACAAGTGGCGCTGGGAACCTGGGGTCCCTTCCCTCAGGAGTCCTTATGGAGCCAAATCCTCACTCAGTGAGGGCACGGAGCCCCCGGGGGCCCTGAAGGGAGGAGCGGCCACAGGCTCTCTGGGCCCTGTGACTGCTGTGATCCAAGTTCCTGTGCAGGTGTGCACAGCAGGGGTGCCCTGACTCTCGCCCTCTCCCTGGCAGGAGGTGGTCCAGGCCACGCTGGTGGTCCTGGCCTTGGCCATGGTGCCCATCCTGCTGCTTGGCACACCCCTGCACCTGCTGCGCCGCCACCGCCCCCACCTGCGGAGGAGGCCCGCTGGCCGACAGGTGGGACCGGGCCTAAGGTGTGGGGGGCTGCTTGGGAGGAGAGGCCACTGTCCGGTGTGTACCTGACTCCCCACTTCCTCACAGGCTCCTAAGTGGCCAGGAGCAGGCCTGGTGGGTGGCGGGGGCCCTCCTGAGGCTGGAGCGCTGCCAACACTGCCTGCTCGTTCCCCAGGAGGAAGACAAGGCTGGGTTGCTGGACCTGCCTGATGCATCTGTGAATGGCTGGAGCTCCGATGAGGAAAAGGCAGGGGGCCTGGATGATGAAGAGGAGGCTGAGGTGGGTGCGGTGCCTTCCTGGGGGTGGGACGGGTGAGGCCCCGCTGGCCCTCACTGCACCCGCCCCGCAGCTCGTCCCCTCCGAGGTGCTCATGCACCAGGCCATCCACACCATCGAGTTCTGCCTGGGCTGCGTCTCCAACACCGCATCCTACCTGCGCCTGTGGGCCCTGAGCCTGGCCCACGCCCGTGAGTGACCTGGCCACCGACGGCCAGCCCCGGCTCCTGGCTTCTCACTTACGGCTGCTGGCTGGGTGGGTTTCTTTTCTCTGGGCCTCAGTTTCCCCTCTGTAAAGTGGGACTGTCCAAGGAGGTCCCTCGCTGGCTCCCGGTGCAGGGAGGGCTTCAGGCTGCGGCAGGTAGGTTGGGGGCTGGCAGGCCCCCACTTGCCGTTGGCCCCCACTGTCTCCTTTGCTCGCAGAGCTGTCCGAGGTTCTGTGGGCCATGGTGATGAGCATAGGCCTGGGCCTGGGCCGGGAGGTTGGCGTGGCGGCTGTGGTGCTGGTCCCCATCTTTGCCGCCTTTGCTGTGATGACCGTGGCCATCCTGCTGGTGATGGAGGGGCTCTCGGCCTTCCTGCACGCCCTGCGGCTGCACTGGTGAGCAACCACCCTGTGGCCTGGGCTGCTCGAGGTGGGAGTTCCCCTCACCAACCCCTCCTCTTCTCACCCCCAGGGTGGAATTCCAGAACAAGTTCTACTCCGGCACAGGCTACAAGCTGAGTCCCTTCACCTTCGCTGCCACAGATGACTAGGGCCCACTGCAGGTCCTGCCAGACCTCCGTCCTGACCTCTGAGGCAGGAGAGGAATAAAGAGGGTCCACCCTGGGGAGTGATGTCTCGTCTCTTCCCTCCTTTCTAGCTGAGGCAGGTGGCGGGGTAGAAGGCATGGTGTAGGATCTGGGACCTCAAAAAGTCGAGGCCAGGACCTGCAGATCTGCAATGTCAGACTCTTGGGGTGAAAAGGGGCAGAGAAGGGCCAAGGAGGGATGTTTCCAGCACATTCTAACTTGGAGTGAGTAAATGTATTCCCAGGCCGGGTTAGGGGAGTGAGCTCCCCATCCTTGGAGGTGTGCAACTGGCTGTGAGCGGGTGTTTGGGTTACTCTCTGTTGGGAGTGGTGCCAATATCCATGCCCTGGTGCCGGGCCTCAGGGGGCTGGAAGTACAGAGCAGTCTGGGGCACCTGAGTCCTGGTCCATGCTCCAGGCAGGGCTATGGTGTCACACGCCCAAGGCCACATGCCTGCCAGGAAGGGCAGAGGCTGTCCCGAGCAGCAGACATTACCCCAGGCCCCGGGGGTCAGAACAGGGGCTGAGCCTGACTCCAAGCCCAGCCTCCCCTCACTGAGGCTACAGTCTTCCTGACCCCTCCCCGGTGCTCCTTCCTGCGTTGCTGGCAGGACGGGGGTGGCTTTCTGCAGTCTCCTCTGGCCTGGGTCCCACCCCTGCTGGGAGGCAGAGCCAGTGCTTCCCAGAAGCCAACAAGCTGCAAAGTGGTTCTTCCCACAGCTGTGGCTGTGGCCAGCTGCTGGGAGGAGCCTGTCCATTGGCTCCTGGACTGCCTTGCTCAGGACCTCCGGATGCCAGGGGTAGTATCAGGGCCTCTGAGGTAATTCTACATGCCGAGCAGACTCCGCTTAGAGAAACGGTGCCGTGGTGCTGGGGTAGGAACAGAGGAGGCTAAATGAAGGACTCCGGAGAGCTGCAGGTGGATCTGGACCAAATCCAGAACCCAACGCCTCACTCCCTCCTGGGGAGGGAGCTGGGCAGAGACTTGGGGCAGGCAGTGAGGTGGGGATAGGTGAGCAGCACTCGTGGCGACTGGCCCCAGTGTGATTTAGGAGGGGTGTGGTGTGGGATCCCAGGGAGATGACCAGTCAGCCCTGCCCTGGCTTTGACATGGGGGTACCTGGCAGTGGTGGCTAGAGAAGTCCAGTTTGCCATGAGAATGGCACATAAAAAGGCACTGGGGTGGGCACCTCTGGGGCACGGAGGTCACTGGGAGACACAGGGATGGAGTGGGTCACCTGCGTGGACGACTCGGCAGTGAACAGCACAGGCCCAAGCCCATCCCTGTCCACGTGAGCTTATGGCCTGATGCAGAGACCACCAGGGGCTCCAGGAAAGTTAAGGTGCATGGAGAGAAACGATGGGCCAGGGCCGGGCCCAGGGTGGTTTAGGGAACGCCGGTGTCTTGGGTAGAATAGCAAGGCCTGAGATTGTAACTGAGCTGACAGCAGGGCAAAGTGAAGGAGCCCAGTATTGGAAGATCGGCTCCAAATGTCTCTCTGCAAGGAGACTGCAAGTGAGCTCGTGTGTGAAGGACCAGGCAGAGGTGAGGGCTAAGTGAGGCCAGCAGTGGCCTGGGCACAGGAAGATGGTGAGTGAGAAGCCACCAGAGCTCCTATGCAGGAGTGCACCACTGCTGTTCAATTCAGTTTGGCTTCACCTGTTTAAAACTGTAACTCTCTAGAAGGGTGAACAGTGAAAGCCTCCCTCCTGCCCCTGCCCAGCCACTCAGTGTCCCCAGGCACCAGCGCTGCTCCCAGTCTCCAACGTCCTCCAGGGCTCTTCATTTCTCGGCTAGAAGCAGGGAAACCCGAGTATGACGGGGAAGAGGAGGAGGTGGAGGAGGGCCGATGGGGTCACACGCTGCTGGGATGCCAGCTGAGAGCAGTGGGGCACTGCTGCGCTGAGGGACTGGGTGGGTGCAGATGGAGCCGTCCATGGGCTCCTTCAGGTACCAGGAGCCCTCCCTGAGATTTAGGACACATCCAAGGGTGACAGCTTGAGGTTGGGTTTTTATTATTTTATTTGTATAGTACAATCTCTGTGGTAGCAGAAATATATGCACAAAAAACAATTCAAATAAGAGTTCAGAGTAAAAAAAGTCAGCTAAGACTGTATCCCGCGGGACATTTCATATATATGGATTTCACAGCTACACTCAATCCACGCCGTTCACCACATAGAGGCTGCTGTCTCCCACAAGAATGATGATGTCAGGGACATCGGGAAAGGTAAGGGCCGGGAAACTGAGCCCTCAGAGAACCCAGGCCAGGGTTTCCCTCACCCTGCCCGGGGGCGGCCCAGCCCACTCAACAGGATCCCACACTTCAGGCAGAGCAGAGGGCAGGAGAGGCCCAAAGAGCTGGGTCAATCAGCTGGCTCCCCTGGGAGGAGAGCTGGGAGACAGGGAGGTCCTCACACTGCCCCATGGCCATGCACGGCTGTCTGCACACTCCATCAGGAGGAAGGGCAGGGAGAAGTCACACGCAGTACAGTGAAATTCATCAATGTCACACATGCCCAGCAGGAGGGGAGAGCTGTGCTCCACACGCAGGCGGCAGCAATCCACTGCTCCAGCTTCAGCCATGGGACCAAGAGGATACAGGAGCAGCTTCTGGGGGCCCCAGGCAGAAGCTACCTTGCAGTAGTGACTGGCGACTTCACAGTACATCTCTGCTCACTTGCCGTCCCTTGGGAATGAGCAGCGTCTATAACACATCGCCATCTACAAAAGCCTGCTCACAGTGTTCACCAGCACATTCATGAAAAAAAAAATTTAAATCAACATTAACCAAAGTACCTGCAAGTAACACTGCTTACTCTTGCTGTTTGCCCTTTCTGACTTGGAAACCTTAGCCCCCAAATATGAAACGCCTTCTCTAGATTAAAAGGATTCAGAGATGTTGCACTATTGCACTATATTTCTGCTTCCCAATCTCATTTCTGAGTCCTAGTGAAATTGTAAACAAGAGGTGAAATAAACGTCGCTCCATTTTAATACAGTCTTTAGTATCATAAACATCTGTGTTCAGTAGTGAGCCACCCAAAGCCTCCTGCCACAGGAGCAGTAGTCGAAGCACAGAGGGGACCCCGCTCCGCCGCCTCCCCATGCAGTCCAGTGATGAGGTGGATGGAGTCCTCCCCACAGTCACACCCCAAGCTTCCTCTTCTGGTGGAAATAGGCATCAAACCTTGCTTGGGCGTAGTCCTAGGAGAGAGCAAAGAGAAGCAAGGAATCCTGCTGGCCTGCCCCTGCCCATGTGTCCCCCAAACCCCACCCCTGGCAAGAGCTGATGGCATGGACCCATGAGACCAACAGCACAGGACTGGCCTGTGTAGCAGGGCTGCTCCGCAGGTGCAGGCTCCTCAAGCTCCTGGCCCACCCTGCACACCTTCATTCTCAGGAGGCCTGTTTACAGGCATGGGCCAGCCCAGCCCTGCCTCTCAGGATGGACGTCTCGTCCACACGCTTGGCACTGCTACCATTCATCACCTTGTTAACCTTGGGTGCTGTGGGCACTGGCTGACTGACATAACACACTTTTTAGAGCAAAAGGCCCCTGGGACATAGGCAAGTCTAGAATAGAAGGGGAGAAACAAGAGGATGCCCGTTGCCTATTTCCCGGGATCTCCTGCAGCATGACTTTTAAGAAAGACACTGAGAGGCAAGGGAGAACACCTGGCTTGGTGTTCTGTTTCTGCCACTATATTTTTCTGGGTCTCTTCCCTCATCTGTCCATCAGTGAGGACAACACAATCTCAAAGACCCACTCCTAATCTAAAAGTCTGCAATTCTAGAAGCCAGGAAGATTACAATAACACTTTTTTGAAAAATTAACTCTGAGCTGTAATTTCTACTCGATAAGCATGAGCCCATTTTGTGTCCAGTTGGAGGGCTTTCACAGATGCATCCAGCCAGTTCTCCACCACTGCAGTCAGGAGGAGACCTGTGTTTCCAGCATCCCTACAAGCTCCCATGGGCCTCTTGCAGTTGGCCACAGGCAGCCACCGACTCAATTTTTGTCACTATGGATTGGACTTTTCTTTCCTAGAGTAGCACATAAATGCCACCATACAATATGCACCCTCGTGCCTAGCTTCTCAGCGTGATGTCTCTGAGTAGCCCATGCTGTCATGCATTCGTGCCACCTTCCTTTGCACTGCCAAGTGTTCTCAGTACACGGATCTGGCACTGTAGTATCCACGCACCTGCTGACTGGCACTGAGGCTGCTTCCAGTTTGGGACAATTACAAATGAAGCTGCAGGCCAGGCACGGTGCCTCACACCTGTAATCCCAACACTTTGGGAGGCCAAGGCCGGCAGATTACTTGAGGTCAGGAGTTCAAGACCAGCCTGGCCAATATGGAGAAACCCCCTCTACTAAAAATACAAAAATTAGCTGGGTGCAGTGGCGCACGCCTGTAATCCCAGCTACTCAGGAGGCTGAGGCAGGAGAATGGCTTGAACCCAGGAGGCAGAGGTTGCAGTGAGGCAAGATTGGGCCACTGCACTCCTGCCTGGGCAACAGAGTGAGACTCTGTCTCAAAAACAAACAAACAAATGAAGTTGCTATGAGCGTTTGGGTGCAAGTCTTGGTGTGGAATCTGTTTTCATTTGTTCTGGAAAAATTCCCCAGGAGGGCTGCTGGCTGGTCTAACGCATGCATTTTCACGCCGGCTGTCGCAGACTGCATTCCCAGCAGCAGTGCACGTGCATTCCCATTGCTCTATCTGCTCGCCAACATTTGAGACTGTCAGTTCTTTCAAGTTTTAGCCATCACTGTGGGTGTGTAGGGTATCGCAATGAGGCTTTGATTCATATTTCTTTAACGACTAATTATATGAAACACATGAAAAGATTCTTACTGGCCATGTGTTTCTCTTAAGTGTCCAAATCTTCTATCCATTTATAAAGCAGGCTGAGACCGGGTGTGGTGGCTCACGCCTGTTTTCCCAGTACTTTGGGAGGCCAAGGTGGGCGGATCACCTGAGGTTAGAAGTTGGAGACCAGCCTGACCAACACAAAGAAACCCCGTCTCTAC